CCCCCCCCCCCCCCCCCCCCCCCCCCAAAACCCCATCTTTCAACAACAAAAAAAGTTTAAGAAATTGAATAGAATTGATTTTTTTTAAATCAAGTAGATTGTATATACAAAAATTGAAACAAAACGAAATAAATCAAAAACAGAAAAGAACAGACCCCCCCAAACAAAAAAGATAATAAATAAATACATGTAAATACAAATAAAATACAAATAACAATAAAGAATAAAAATAAAAAGAAGAAATCCTGAATTGCATAAAAGTAAAATAGTAACCATTGTTTTAAGTGTAAATAGAGCTTCTTCTGTCCGATAATAATTATAATAGCCATCATTTACAAAGTGATTTTTTAAAGGGAAGTAAAAAGGAATAAAACTTTACACCAAACGCTAAACTGGAATGGTTGTTCCCCTTTGCATATGAGGCTGTTTTGGGCAGCCCGCAGCCCCTGACCAAGCCCCTGCGCACCCTTTTTTCTTTTTTCTTTTTTTTTTTTTTTTGGAAGGTCTTTTACGGCGCTCGCTGCTGCATAAGGTCATATGAGCATGTTCAGTTAATAGGAAGTTTTTGAATTTTGCGCGGGAGGCGGTCGAGGCATACTCTTATTGATTTTGGACCACCAAGGGATCTTTAACGTGCTCTGCACACTCTAGTGTAATAAAGTGGCCTGGGATCATCAGCTTAGACAACCCCCCGTGGCGGTACCACTGACTGTAGTGTCTTTAGACCATTCCCGAAAGGGGGGACATTTCTCGTTCGTGCACAGTAGAATTGTAAATGGGCTGATTCATGTCACGCTTATAACTGTGCCTGATCTAAAACAGGGAACTGCTGCTTTTTCTTTCCTTACTATTCTCATTTTTCCTCTACTTCTTTTGTATGTTTGTCACACTCTTGTGACCCACTGTTTTCGGGGTGCCTTGATAGTCGAAGCAGACTTTGTTCTGTTGAAGCTAGAGAGGTGAGATGATTAGGTCTGATTCCCTGTAAGGTCTTCTCTGTTGACATCCACTCCTTGGCACTCATATGAACTTTTTCAAATGCAGTTGCAAGCGCCGTAAAACCTCTACTAAAACTCAGCTTAGACACATAAACATCAGACAAAAATTATCCTGAACGCAGCTTCACAGCATATTAATAATAATATATGATCCGATTCGACTCAGTGTCCGATAGATCTAGAGCAGGAAATCTGCTTACACAGGGGCGGAGGTTTACAACCTGTGGTCCGGATTTCTGTCAAGCCCGATCCATTCTTGAACCAAGTTATTATTAT